AGCATAGTTTGTCAACGGCACCTGAATATAATGACAACTCCAGAGATGTTTTTCCAAGAAGAAAATAATCCATTTGTCATGATGAGATGAACACACTCACTTGAGATGAACACAACTTGTAGTGCTATGAGGTGTCTATATAGTATCCATTTTATCCTATATTTACCTGCCACTTTTGTTGGTTAAAATGTCAAATGTGCCCACTGGCTTCAAAGGTATACCTATGTGGAAAAAGTTGAACATTTCTTCTAATAGTTTCTAGTTGCCATCTTTTTTCCTCCCAAAATTCCAGAAGTCAACTTGGACACTGAGAAAAAGATTAATGTACATTCAACGCCATTTTTTGTTATTTTATCCACAATATAACAAAAGGACTAGGGACACTGCGGGTACATAAAAATTATAGCTGGAAACTGCTTGGCAGAAGACAACCAAAATGTTTGAGGAATGATTCATTTTTTAAAAATCCATTCATTCATTTTTTTAAAATTAAGGAGTGATCAGGGCAAACTTCAGCACTAATCCTTGAGGTGCTGGACTGTGGCTTTTGCCTAGGATGTCAGGTATTGATGCTGGCATTGGCCCCTATTTTTTTAATAGTAATTTTATTAAAAATTACAATTACAACAATAAAAACTAATACAAGCTAAAAAAAAACAATAAAAAGAAAAATAGAAGGTGGAGAAAAGGAAAAAAAAATAGAGAAACAGAAAAGGAAGAAAAGAAGAACATAGTAAAGAAAAAGAAAAGAAATGTATAAAGAAATGACTTCCCCCCTTATAACAACAAGTACAAACAATTTTAGTAACATCACTTTCTCTTAAAATACAACAAATGATCTCTTATTCCCATATCCCATCTGTCACCTATAAACAAATCCTTAAAGATGGGCGGTATATATAAATTTTAAAATAAATAAAATAAATAAATAAAGCTTCATCATTTCAGTCCTGATGTCGGCAAAAGTCCATTAAGGGTTACCAGAGATAAGAACATACCTATGTTAACTTTGATCAAATACCAACTTTATGTTCCTTCCTTTTACTTCTAACAATCTTGATTTTTAGTTCCTTCAAATTATGTCCTAGAATTTGACTTCTTTTTCATTTTTCCTTTGTTCCTTCTCACAAAATTCTTCAAAGCTTTAACAAGCCTCTTTGTAAATCTAATATAGGAAAATTATCTAGGTCACTCTCTTGGTTTGTTATTTGTATATCCCTTTTAATTATTAACACATCAGCCAGTTTCTTTTATATGTCCAGTGTAATATCTTTTTCCATGTCATTCTTGTAGCCTGTCATTTTTAAATCCACTTTCAATATCTTTTTCCATGTCATTCTTGTAGCCTGTCATTTTTAAATCCACTTTCAATATCTTTTTCCATGTCATTCTTGTAGCCTGTCATTTTTAAATCCACTTTCAAATCAGTCTCAATTTTGTCAGGTAAAACTTGTTCCTCTTTCATAACCTCTTTTAAACACAGTCTATCTATAGAGGCAGACACTCTTAAAATTAACTTCTGGCTCCATTGTTCAAAAATATCCTTCAACATGTCCAATGTTAAAATATTTTGCTTCATTCTGTCGAGTTTAAGTGTTCTTCTCCTTCAATTATAATCTTTAGTTCCTTCTAGTTCCCTCTAGTGTCCAATTTTTAAAGTCTTATTTTATGTTTTTTTAAAAGAATTCAAAACAAAAGCATTTTCCCAAGGGAAGGATTCTTTATAATTCTAAAATCTTATTTCAAATTTATCTGGACCCTTAGTCTGTTTGTAGCTTTCTAAAATCAAAAATTTAATCACCCTTTTGCTGTTTATTCAAAAAAAAAAATTTTTTTTTAAAGTCCTTAAACTTGTATTAAAACTTCTTTCGCTTAGGATTGAAGGAAACTCTCCTGGTATCATAAAACTTGCCAATCCAAAGGTTCCTAACAGCCAAAAAACAGTTAACAAGCTATTTTTGCAAGTGATTAAAAAAGGAAGTATGTGAACCCAGTGTCCGTTCAAAGGTGCTGACTACGGTTTGAGCAAGATAGCTATTCCCTCGTCTCCCAGAGCTCTAAACCCACCAGAGACTTCTGTCTTGCAGTCTCTTTGTAAGGAGCAACAGTCTGGAGCACTTGTGGGCAATCTCGAGTCCTCTCTTTGTCCGGAGAGGAATTATCCAGCAGCCAGTCTCCTTGCCGGCTCTTCATTCTGCTGCAGTGGTCGGCTCCGCTTTTTGTGCGGCTTACTTCAGTCCACCATTTCTTCCCTGGAAGTCTGGTATTGACCCCTATTTTTAGTGGCTACTGTTAGTGCATGGTGGACATCTTAAAGCCCCTAGACTGTATGTTACATTTGTTCTTTTTTGCTTCTGGGACCTCCCTCTAATCTCATGGCTGAAATTGGCACCACTGTTCTCTATAATTTTGAAACAGAAAAAAATGACCATATGGGGCCTGCAATGGGATTAATACTGTTAAACAAATGCACCACGAAACTCTACTGAAAATACAAGGGAAAAAAGATGATTCTGTCCTTGAGTAAAAAAGTGACATGACTCTGCTTGCTTGGCATTGTCAACCTGAGACCTTCACACTCAAGGACAGCCATGGCCCCTGGATGCCAAACGTAGTCTACCCCTGGTTTTGTATGTAGTACAATAGTTAGGACTGTGATGTGGAAAGCTTCCAATTCAGATATGACACCAGTCATCATTTCACTAGATCAGGGATTCTCAAAGTATGGCCCACGGGCCAAATACGGCCCACCAGGGTCATTTATCTGGTCCACCCACCTGATTGGCCGCCGCTGCTGTCTGTCAGAAGCGGAAGTGTCGGGGCTGTGTCGGGAGCTGCAGGCGATGCACAAGGAGGGAGATCGCAGAGCCGGACTATACTACATGACAGGTATGCCAGGTCCGGCGGCTCTCCTCCTCTCCTCATACGCCACGGGAAGGATCCTCTGTGCAGGGTGATCGGTGGGGTCCAGGGCACCCTATTACTATAGTCCGGCCCCCCAACATTCTGAGGGACCATGAACTGGCCCCCTGTTTAAAAGGTTTGAGGACCCCTGCACTAGATAGTCAAGCCACAATATCTCAAACTACTAGTAAGCATTACATTCTGCAGAATAATCATCTGCTTTACAAGATTGTAGTAAAGATTATCTGAGTTCATATATGTAAAGCAACAGAAAGACTGCTACAGCTGTATAAACTATTAGGTATTATACTTTTTCTGGAGAATATTACTGCATCTCCTACAAGTTAGAGATGTAGATTTGAAAATCTGAAAGGCAAATTTCAAACATTCTAATTAAGGAATTCTTTCTACAATAAAGTCAGTTACAGAATTTCACTATGCTCAGCACAGTACTCAATTCCTTACATGCTTTTGTGACATTCCTTTGCCTGCAGTTCAGAAAAGGGATTTCACACCGAAAATTTTAGCAGGGAATCTAAATTGAAAAACAGAACAGAAATCCAGAAATTACAGCTATTATTGTTTTTGCAGACCTGGGACTTGAAAATCAGGGGAAAAAAATCAGTCTATTTAACTGTTTATATTATTAGAATATTATTTTGATCTGGAAGCTTTTAAAACAGATTCTAATGGATTTTTAAAAATAAAACATCTAAATTCACATTTGCATTGCCATGTCCTCATTGAGCCTCTCAGTACTCTTTCTCCAGATTTGCACAGCCCTAAGCTGGTAGTGGGCAATTCATGGTCCCCCTCCAACCTGCATAAGCACCCCCAAAATAAAGCAATGAATGTTATGGCAAACAACTCTGATTTTCAGCTCTATATTTTTTAGCAATTTTCATCAAAACACATTTCCAGCTATAGAATCCTGAAACACGCCATAAAATTCTGTGGGGAAAAAAGAGCTGAATAATTTCAACCCCACCCACTTGGTGGAGACCATCCTGCTGTGGCCCTCTGGGAATCAAAATATATTTTTTAAAAAGCATGAGCTCAGCCAAGTTTTACAGTATCCCATTTTTTCAAATACAACAGTTTGCAGGTTTTTAATATTAGCTTGTCTCTGTTTGATCCTAAGATCCTTGGCACCTGGAATCCCCTAGAAGGAGAACATTCAAATCTACACTCAAAAGAAACGAGGATGAAATGCTTGCATTTCTATTACGCCAGGGCTTCAAAGTGACATTTTGCCAGCCCATCATAAAAGTCACAACGTTTATTTTGAACATTCAGTTTGCTTAGAATGCCATACTTATCAATATTTCTATGAAGTTATGTAACAAATTAAAAGGGAGAAAGAAATAGAAAAGAAGTGTCAAAAGATTTTCTTTTTTATATCTTTAGTGCCACCTTCTGGCATTTCAGGAGCAATACAATATATTTATTTTTATATTCAAATCTGTTAGAAGTAATTCATTTTTATAGGAGCTTACAGTCAAGAATTAGGTGGTAGACTGTGGAATCACTGAAATATTTTTATAAATATAGTTTAGAAAAACAAGTTTTCAGTAGCTAATTATTTATTTTGTATCTAAGTGTAGAAAAGCCCAATAAAGAAAGTAAGTTCTACTTAAAATTTCACGAAATAGACAAATGAGAGCAACCTTCTGTGAAACACAACTTTGGGAGAGCCTTAAGAATCAACCCCTCCCTGGGAATGGGTGAATTACTCTTCCACCAATCAACATCGCCATCATATGTGAGACAGAGAGTCTTAAGCCTCATGCGAGATACATGAAAGCCATAATTCTGTTCGTTTCAGTTCTCTGTTTATGTAATTTTAAAAAATTAGAATGCAACTTTGCACTTAATTATATATTCTAAAGGTTTCACTTAAAATGTTTGCATTTCAAAACTTGTCTTTCCAGACATCTAACCCCCTTCCCTCCAATATATTTGGACAACTGTAAACGTTAAGGGAGAATTAAGTTATTATCTGCATGACCATCCAGGTGGTAGGCATCATTCAGCGCATGGTAGCCTTCAAACACCTTGACCAGTAGTTACGTTCGGGATAGATCTAGTTAGTTTACCTTGGTCTGGAAGCAGCAGTAGAGCTGTGTTAAATAAGGATGCTTTCGTGCTAATGCCAGAATCCGTTTTTCTGTCATTGTACAGTCCACATCATCATCTTGAAGAATGACATCTTTCTTTAAGACTTTCACAGCATATACTTCATCTTTACCTTTGAGTTCTGCCAGCATGACCTAGAATGAAGGACGTTTCATTTATAAAATGCACTGTATACATATTTTAAAAGTTACACCAGTTCAATAGACAACTGGGGGAAAAATAAACAAGCAATCACAGGCAGTCTTGAAGCAAAATATTTTACAAGGGTCCTATGTACAATATCTGCCTGTCTGCCTACCTACAGACAAATCTGAGAACACTTACGAGGTTTAAAATATCACTTAAAATTTTAAGATATAGTTTGACTTAGAACTGTAAGCCATGGTATGAAAAGGTAAGGAGCATCAGCTCCAATTGAAAAATCAGCTTTTCTTGAAAGATACACAACCAAATTCAGTACTCTTCATAGAGTTTAGTATACACATGAACAAGCAACCCCATTTATTGTCAGGGCGGCTCTGTATAATTTAACATGAAGACATGTAGAAATTTTTGTGCATGCTGTACCATGAAGAAATTCTTTGTACATGTTCAAACAACTTGTGGGCAGCTGGTATAGGTGAGAGTATATTTGTAATCAGTAACAATCTGCACATACACATAGTTGGGGTGGAGGGTTTCCACTGCTATTAACACATTCTTCTTTAAATAAGTAAATGGAGGACTCCTACAATCCTAACTTTGAGCAACTGTAAAGCAAGATGGCAAAAAGAAAAAAAAGATTATATTTGTATCTTTAGTAGACCCTTCTTATAAGCCAGCAGGGAAAAGACACACAGGTGTACACATATGCATTTGTAATTCAGGATCCCTGGCACTAAGTAGAAAGCCAAGGATAGACATGATGATCCTAGCCTGAACTTGACTGACAAATTTCTGGTTTCAGTTCCATCAGAGGTCTCTCCAAGTAAATAAAGGCACATCTGGTCTATAAGATCTTGCAGCCAAGCCAAATAGTGAGCCTGCTCAATCTGTTCTTGCAAGCAGAAGCAGCAAACTGTGGGCCCTTTGCCAACATGGTTCAACATTAATCTGTCTTCCCTTTACCACCCCAAGTCTTTCTGCTTCTGGCTGTATGATCCTTGCCCACTTGTTCATGAACAGACTCTGAGGTAGGCCAGGATATGATGTGGATTTTATCCTTAGTAAGTTTGAATCAAATAGTTTGCATAGTCCTTGTACCCTGCATACTCAGTCTGTGAACGCAATTATAACTGGAATAATCAAACTGGATGTTGGCCAGAGGAGAGGAGATCTCTGTAGGGTTCTGTACATTGCAAAGTCACTGTATGATGACTTCGCAAATAGACCATTAATTGATCTAAGTCCCATGGATCACATCAACACAAAGCAATTGCAAATAAATTTATTTGGCATGCAGTAAATAGTGTTATTTATTTATAAATTAATCATGTATAGTTAAAACCATATCACTAGCCACATATGAGGTCACCAAAGATGTTGATAGGCATATAAATTAGTCTTTACATTTATACTTTGCAATACAGATGAGGATGTCATTTGAACTAACTCCATGTTCACTATGGCCCTGTTTTTTGCTGCAGATAAGGGCCAGAATCAAGGCTCAGCAAGACTGGACACTTAACAAGAGCCTAAAGACCAGGAGTCGCCTACAGGCAAATGACTCCTCTTTACCATAGCAACTTGCCTGTCCACTCAGGCATGATTGTTGGTGGCATGAAGGAACATTGTAGTATGAAACTTATTGCTGGAACCCAGCGATAGTAGTAGGAATGATAATGAGGAGGAAGTGGAGCAGCAGCAGTTTGTTATTTATATGTACTGTATGTATGTATATATGTATGTGTATACACACACACACACACACACACAC